GTTACTGAGATAATGAAATTACAAGGATGAAAGTGGGGGCAGGGGGAACGCAACTCAAAGTCTGGAAAATAATTGCTGCATTTTTTTTCTAAAGAAAGACTGTAGTCTTCATTCCCGTTAGTGATAGCTCAAACAAGGCACCAGAGTTGACTGGCAACTGCACCAATTAGCAATGCTGCTGTTGGTTTGTGAATTGCATGTGAAATGTAGAATTTGTCCAGAAGTGCTAATGCAAATTGCTCAACAAAAATGTGCCTTCTGTGTCAAGTCTTTTCACTTGTTCTGACACACTGATGTCTCCCCAGATTTCTCTGATCGGCAGATCCCTCTCTCAGTTGACAGCTACCAGAGCTCATAAAATAATGAAAATATTTCTTATTGCCATTAGCTGTATCTTTTCAAGGAGGACTCCAAGCCAGCACCAGCTACTTGCTATACAACATAATTCTGACTTATTTATAACGTATTTGACTTCACATTTCCAGACTTAAATGCTAAAAGCCCAGTAAGTGCCTAAGATTTTGCCTGCACAGAAGTTCAAAGCTCTGGTTATCTGCCACAACAGTAATTTGGTCACTTTGCATGTGTTCAGCATCCCCTCTTATTGTACATGGTGATAACCTTTGTACAGCACTGGAGGGGGCTGAGTTGCAATTGCCATGGGAACTGTAACTTAACATTTCCTGATTTTTTCAGCACATGATAGCTCATCCTTATATTATGTTCTTTAAGAGAAGAAGTAGTGAAGCAAGGGCACAGTGAAATAATGGTGTTTTCACACCTACAGAATATAAAACAGTGTATTTAGCTCTATGCAGATTGAAGTTGGATTTGTTACACTATTTCTTGCACTTCTGAGCCGTAGTCCCAGTTTAGGAGTCTCATTGTTTTGGGCTCTCTTCAGATGCAGGATGTAAATATGTTTCCTTCCCCACAAATACTTCTAACCTAAGAGTAAGATAAGAGATAATGCAGGGAGACAAACACACCAGGGAGCACAAGGAAACAGAAGACTTCTGCACATCATGGAGACAGAAACTTCTACAAATATAACTATACTGGGGCACGGTTCAGGGTCAGATTTGTGTGATTTGGAGAGTCTCCTCCCAAGAATGAGATCCAGCAGGGAGGAAAGCATAAAGGCACTTATAGCTAAAATGTAACATGTGGAAAAGAGTGGGTTGTGATGGGGTGACAGAAAGTCTCAGCAGTGAAAGAGAGATGATGTGTGAGGTGGCATATGCTGCAGCTGAATTTGAGAGCAAGGAAGGGTGTGGAAATCCAGAGTAAAGGGAATCAGAGAGAGGGCCACAAGGAGAGAGATGGCACAGGCAGGATGACTGGCAAAAAAAAAAAAAAAAAGAGCAGGACAGCAGAACTTGGGCAGTCTACAGCAGGGTAAGATTGCAGGTGTCAGGGTGTGAGGCAGCGGGAGCCTGGCTGTGGGACTGCACAGAGCATGGCAGCACAGGTAACAACCAGGCCATGGACTGAGTGACAGCCAGGCCTTGGGGACTGAAGGAACAGGAAGGACAGCAGGCCTAGGGAGTAAGATGAGAGCCTGCTTTGAGCTTGAGCTGACAGATATCCACAAGATAGTCCCAGAGGCAAGGCAAGAATTCAGTCAGAACAGACGGGAAGTGGCCAGGGACAGAGAGGCAGGTCACTGGTGCAGAGGAGGTTCCTGAATGTGTACAGAGGGAGAACTCACTCTGAGACCCAAGGGAGAAGGAAAGGAGACAAGCAAGGAGGACACAGAGCCAAAGAACAGCAGCAGGTGGGAGGGTGAGCAGTGATGAACTAGTCTGAGTAACCCTGAGCAAGCAGAGGAAGGTGTTGGAGTCAAGTAGGAGCACTGGGAAAGGAGGACCAGATTTCCAGAAGAAGCTGACAGGCTATGACAGAGAGCCTGGCATAGTGCAGAGCTGCAGCCAGACAAAGAAAATTAGAAACTCTCTGATTCTGGTTCTGACAGGAGAGATGTGAAAGCCTGTTTGAAAAAGAATCTGTTGGAGATAGAGCCTAAATTCAGTCTAAATCGTACAAATCATCATCAGCAGACTCAATAAGCTTAGAGCTGACAGTGAAAAGAGATAGAGAGTTAGAGCTGGAGAGTCACTAGGAGTCAAAGGTTGTTTGGATTTCTTTTTTTTTTTAAGTATGAAGTTAAAGCATGTTTGTGCTGCAAAGAGCAAGCACAAGAGCTTGCTTGTGAAAGAGCAAGAGGAAAGAGCAAGAGTAGAGTGAGATATAAAAAAGGAGAAGGCAGATGGGGGCAAGAGAGACGAGAAGAGAGGACCCAGTGAGGTTGCCAGGACAAGAATAAGGGCTGGGGATCACTAATGAGGCTGCCTACTCTGTGGCCAGGAGCAGAGAGCTGGGCAGGATGGGAAGTGAGGGTAGAGGGAGATCATGTCTTGCTTTAAGTCTCTCATGGGAGAGATCAAGACAATCCTGTGCAAAGTCTGTCTCCAGTGAAGGCAGGGCTTCAGAAGTGAGTCCAAGGCTGCAAAAAGACAGTTGCAGTTGCACTGGGAGGGCTAGTTAAGCTGGCAAAGATAAGTAGGCATTAGGAAGATGGCAGCAGAGAAGGAGGCAGAAAAAGCATCCCTGTTGTGGAGGGAGGGGAAAAAAAAAAAAAAAGAAAGAGGAAATGTAAGGCTTAAGAGGTATCAAGGCCATATAGAAAGCCTCAGATAGCATTAATAAGGGCTTGATCAGCAAAGCAAGCTATGCCTTAGAGACCTGGAAGTCTACGGATAAAGTCAGTTCTTCTAAAACTTGAGCTGAGTTAGGCCTTGCAAAGGAAATCAATTCAATTGTGAGGTTTTGCTTAGTCATATAAATAGAGGGAGTCATACAGTATGGGACATGTTGAGGTTAAAGACAAGCTAGGCATAGCCCAAATCAGAATGCCTTATCTCAGTTTTCAGTAAGAGTAAGATGGCTGTGTCAAAGTAATGGCCAGGTGGCTAATGGAAACACAAAGACAACATCCAAGAGGGAGGAAAAATCAAGAGTTTCAAGTGCTGGAACTAGGTGGTCTGGATTGCTTGGATTCAAGGATGTTAAAAGAACTAGCTGATGAAATCCTACACCTGGTTGTGCCATCCCAACAATTTATCAGCAGCTAGTTACGTGAAACCACAGCAAAGATCCTGCTGCTTTGCCAGGCAATTGGACCACTTCCCTTGGGCCTGCCAGCTACCTTATGGAAATATTTGGCTGTTGATTTGGGATGGAATTCCCACCTCCAGAGGGGCTGCACAGACAAGCACATGCAAACAAGGCAAGGGAGTTACTCCAGCTCTTTGAAGTCACTGTCAGGCAGAGGAAGACCATGGAATTTATGCATGAATGCCCTGTATGGGCACAGAGCAGAAGGAAATCCTCACTTCACCCAACCCTGCTGGTGTGTGATATCCCTCTCCTAGGGCACGGTGTGAGTGAGGGAGAAGAGAATGAAGCTGGGAAACACCCAGAGAGACAGTGCAGCTGTACTGCCAGCATGAGGAACACGCTCCCTGAGCCCTCCCCACACTCCTGCCAGGCCAGAGACCAGTCACAGAATTGGGCACAGTGCAAGACAGGTCCCTGGAGCCATGCAGGAAGAGGGCTACTTTAGGAAAGCCTTTGCCATACATTTTTCTGTGGATATTTTTTTTTTTTTTTGCCTCGGCAGAAGCGACACCATAGGGGTGATTGCAGCTTCTTCCCAATTTCTGAGGTAAGGTGCCTTCTGCATATGGGAAAGCGAGCATATGGCCCACTGTGTTTATTTCTCAGCCAGGATTCTTTCAGGCTTGGCAAATTACACACTGCTTACTGAGGAGCAACACAAGTGCCAAGTTGGAATTTCTAAAAATGAAAGATTTATCACAGCACAGAGAAAATGACCTGAAAAACACCTTTAAGTGTGAAAAGATACCTTTTGTTTATGCTCAAACAAAACAACCAAGAGGAAGTTAAAAAAAAAAACACAGCTAGAGTAAAATAAAAAAAAATATCTGCAGTCATCCACAGGAGACCTCAGGCAGCTTCTGCTAAGCATGAGCTAGAGCCAGGCTCTTCAAAATACCTCAACTACCAGTGAGCTCCATGGGGTCCAAGGTGATAATGTGGTACAGACTCAGGCCATTAGAAGAAAAGGGGCTTACTGATAATGTAGAGTGTTAACTTCTATAGAGCTCCATTAGAGCATCTTTTTCTTACACTTTTGCTTTTTCCAAGCCCCGTATTTTTCCCTGCGTGTGCTTAGAAGCTTTTCTTTTTCTTACATAATTTATTTTTATTGTGCCATTTTCCCTCTTTTCCCCTTTTCATTGGCCCTGTGTGAGTGTTTGTTTAAACCATTTGCTTGCTTTCATCTTCCATTTTTCTTCTCTCCCTCCTTGCAGGAGCTCTCTAGCTGTGATTATCCTTATGCTTCACATTAGCTTTCCTCCCTCCTGCTCCGGGATGGGCTTGAAGGAGGCACTGATTAAAGCTGAAACCTGCAGCAGGAAAATTTCTATCAGGCACCAGCTTCAGGGTCCAGTGGCTTCCATGAGCTCAGCTGTCACTTCGTTTTTCTCCAGGACCAGTTTCTAAAGTCCCAGGAAATCTACCAAGACTGAACTGAGCTGGCACTGAAATGGCAAGTCACAGCTCCTCTTGAGGGTCTGATTTGTATCCATGGAAGCCCTCAGCTTCCAAGGGAGCTGTGGGAGAAGGCATCAGGGATGTGGCATGGAAAAGCTTTGGCATGGGCCAGCTTTTCAACTCCCTCCTCCTGCCTTTTGGTCCTTGAAGGTTCCCTCTTGCATTCTGAGTGGTAGGACACATTGTGGAATGCCATGATGGCACAGCTTCATGCAGCAGTCTTTGAGTGGAGTAATTACAGCCTTCACAGTACGCCTAAAATATAAGGTTGGGCACTTCAGTGTTTCTTCAAATCCTTGCCCTCCTTCCCTCCCTGCTACCAGCTTTGCCTAGAGGCCAGTGCTTATTTCTCCTTTTTTTTTTTTTTTCTTTTATTTTTTTTTTCTTTTATTTTATTTAAAGATATGGATGTAAAGTGGGTATTTTGGTTTGAATTTCGGCTGATGCACTTTTTTTTTTCTCCCAAAAATAATAATACCAATTAAACTTATAAGTACAAGGATAATAGTTATTTGAGATAAATGAATACTTCTCAGTGCACAAACCCAACTATTACATCCTTATACTCCATACCATGGTCTTATGGTATGCTGGTGAAACTGGGGGTAAACTAAACTGGAAGCAGGAGTGATTTCCCCTGCAAAGGTTTCTTTCTTGAGAGAAGGGAGAGATCACCAGAGCTGTTATTTGTAAAAGAGGAAATGAGTCTGGTTTTATTAAGCTGGTTGAAATTCAGTGGCATTCTGTTGAAATGCGACATTTCTGAATCCATCATTCCTGAATTCCATGGGTTGTGCTCAGGGTTTGTGGAGTGGGAGCCCTGGGCTGGAGCAGAAGTGGGTGTGTGGGGAAGTAGCCAGCAAAGCCCCTTCTCCTCACAGGTTTTGAGAAGAACTTCTGCTGGCCTTTAGCTCTTAAACAGTAATAGAAAAACAGTTGCCCCTTTTAGAGCCCTTTGTTACCTACTTCATCACCAGAAAGGGAGACATTGGAAAATTATTAGAAAACAAAAATACACCAAAGTCTAACAGATCCTGTTTGTTTGTGGGCAGAATAAACTGTATGGAAAACACAGGGAGGAGAGATACAGGTGAAGAGAGGTGAAAGGAAAACAAATTGGCTGCATGGAGAGGTCTGGTGTCAAACATCAGAGGGATCTTGTTTGCTCAGATACTGTATTTAAGACCGTGGCAATCGGGGACCTGGAGGGAGAGGAGAGGTTTGCAGCCCCTCCCTGAGGCTAGATGACAGAGGAAATAGGTGAAGCAATCTGCTCTGCTGAGCCTGCTGCTGGGGCTGCAGTTTTGAACCAGCGTATTCCATCCCTTCATCCTATACACTGTTTTTTCTGAGGAAAAAAAAAACAAACCCAGAAGTCTGAAATTAATGGATTTGTAATTCCCTCAGTCTGTCAGATGGTACCATTCTGAGAAAGGTGGCTTTGCTGTGGGCAGTCTGATTTAGAGAGAGGATTAAGATCCCTGCAAGACACAGTAAGTCACAACATTACAAGGAATTCAATAGAAATATTTCTGAGGGAGTATAGGAATGTGCTTTCAGGCTGCTCTGAAAACACTGGGTAGAGATGATGTTTTACTGTGACCTAATGTATGGAAATGGAGTAATATTTTTGATCCCAGTAATAGGCTGGAGATCCCCCTTAACAGACAGCCACACACACACACAGACACGCAGGCAGTGCCTGTGTCCCCAGCAGCAGCTCAGGGCTGTGCAGAGGTGAGGGCAGACAGTTCTGTTCATCAGCACTGTACATCCCCTTGCACATCACACCCATTCCATTGCACTAGTGTTGTGTTTATCCACAAAGGCGTACATCCTTGAAGACATCCCTTTGTGGAGATCTGCCATTTCTGGTGGGTAATAGAATCAGAGGGTAAAAATGGGATTCTTCTTTCTGATTTAAATCTGTCTTCAGCTTCCAGTCCTTGTATCTGGTTTTGCCTTCTTTGCTGGATAAAAGAGCTCTTTAAGGAATTTCTTTGCTCATGAAGGTATTTTTATCCACCATGGTCAAAGCATCTCTCTGTTCTTTTTGTGGTAAGCTAAATGGATTGAGCTCTTTAAGTCACTCGCTGGCAGGCATTTTCTGCCACAAATCATTTTTTTGTCTACTCTTTCTGCTCTGACTCTAAAATGTAGATGTCTGATTGTATACATTTTTCTAGAGTCATTTTTCTGATGCAGTGTGCAGGATAAGCTACCTCCTGGCTTCTATTTGCTTTCTATATTCAATATCCATTCGCTCACATGACACAGAACGGCACAGAAAATGATGTTTGTCTGTTTTACACATCCACAACTGTGCTTTCCAGTCTATATTTCTCACAGCTTGTTGGGCAATGCTTTGCTCCCAGACATGGAATACCCATCCTCTGTTGATTTCTGCCAGTAGTTGTCTGGAGCAGCCCCCTTTTCCCTGAGGTGCCACTTTGCCCCCTGGCCTTCAGCAGGAGCAGAGTTGGCTCCTCCAAATATATATAGAGGGATAATGGGCATGCTTGGGTGTCCCTGCCTGGTGCCTGGGGCTTCAGCTGGTGGTTGTTCTGCTTGTTCTGAAAGGAAATTGTGACTGCTTTTAGCTGCAGTTGGGGGATTGAATGACATGTGGAAGGAATAAATCACTGCATGATAAGGAAGAGGCACGTAAGATTTGAGACAAAGAGGAAAATCTCGTTTCCACTCCCCTTTGTTATCCCTTTACTGTGCATAACTGTACATATCGCACATGTTACTCTGAGCTCCTGCAGAGTATTCCACCACTCCAGTAGAGCCCTGGAAATACACTGGGAGGACACAGGATTTATCTTCCTGTTGCTTAACTAAGAATCAGATTATCCACAGGAGGCAACTCCCACAGAGGCATTAAGTAAGCAGTCAGATCCCAGTATAAGTTCATCTTACATGATGCCCTGTACCTATCCAAAGCTACAAACCTGTCCAGGTGTGTTATGCTGACCATTTATAAACAGTGGCTGCTTTTTGGCTCTGTGAACAGGCAGCACTTTGGCTCCTGCAATACCTGCTTTTGTTCCCAGGGGCTGAGCTCTTAATTCTGTCCTGGGCTGCCTTAAAAATGGACAGCTGAGGCTGCAGGGGCAGAAGGGCTCCCAGGAGGCTGAGGTAGGGCCAGCCTGTGCTTGAACTTGCTCTTTGTCACAGCTGAGGGGCCTTGGCACCATCCTCCCTTTATGTAACCAGCTCTTGGCTTCACCTGTGCCTCGGTGAGGACCCTGCAGCAGAGCTGCAGCACCACTGTTCCCGACTGGAATGCCTGCGACTCTGCTCGAGCCACTGTTAGCAGGAGAGAGCTGTTTGCAGCCTGAGAGCATCACACAGTGGCTTTGGGTGGTGTAAAAAAGAGCCAGAGTGAAACATGAGAAATCCCATTGTACCATTTTCCCAGATATCACAACCTGAGAACACAATCTGTTTCCCCTTCCAGGGCACCTTGTCACTCTCTTCAGGGACTACCTGCCCACAGAGCACCCCCGTACACACATGTACACATGGGCACAGGGGCCTGGGGGAAGGAGCTGGGCAGTCCCCTTGCTTCTGCAGATCCCTGGAGTTAGAGGGTAAGCCAGATGTGTGCATTGGGCCACTGGGGATACCAGCATGGGTGAGATGCAGCTACAGGCTGGGTACTGATGGTGGGGTCTGCAGAGTGAAGCAAGAGACAGCAGTGCCAGTCGGTGGAGAAAGGAAAATGCAGAGGCTGGGCAGAGGGTGTAGGAAGGAGAAAGGGATAGCAGGGAATGAGGAGGAGGAGCAGAAAGTCTAGGGGCAGAAAGACTCAGGGTGCAATAGGAGGATGAGAGAACAGTCAGGTAGAGCAGGAGCAAAGAGTGTTGTCAGTGAAGCTTGAATTGGTTTGGTTTTTAAGCTCTGTAAGAGTGAAAGTGCTGCACTTAGCCTGAGTTGTTTGACTTGGTGTTCAGCTCTTGTGGTGAGACTGCATCTGGGTCTGGAGCTGCCATGGCTTGTAAGAGGTAGCCCTGAAGAGTCCAATGTTGTTTCCTCCATCCCCAGTTCCCTGCCTCATAGCCCATAGCCAGGTGTCACCTCCACACACTGCCCTCGGAGGACAACTGCAGCAGTGCCAGGCTGCAGAGCTAAAGCTCGGGGGAAAGAGCTCTGCTCCCAGGTGCTAGGGAGCATTTTCCTGCAGACACTTTTTGCCTGGGCTGTGCTTATTTTCAGGACACACAACCCAGGGCTGCTCCCAGTGATCTCAGAAGGGCCTTTCATCAGCAGCTGGGAAGAGCTTTTGCCATGAAACAAAAGGAAAGGAGAAGAAATGTTCTAGGCAGGAGGGTGGTCTAAATGAAGAAGGCCTGACTTTAACAGAAACAGGAAGTTTTCATGATGTACCTTGAAACAAGTAAACATGCAACACTGGAAGTGACACCTATGTGCTAATTTTCATATTTCCTTCAGCTGCTGCACAGTTCACTGGGCTCACGTCAGCTGGTGGGGCTCCTTTCAAAACTTTCTTCCTTTTAAAACTCCAGAATTAATTTAGAACATAATTCATCAGAAAATGGAGTGCTTTCTGTGTGGGGTACCGTGTCCCTCAGCTATACCCATGTGTGGATGTGGAGCCAGGACAGGAGTTCTGTAGGAAGATACATTTTTTTTTTAAGGCAATTCAATGAGGATTTGGGCTGCAGCCCCAAAGGCAGCTGTGCATTGAAGCTCGCAGAGGAAGCTCCAAGGGATGCCACAGCATGCCCTTCAGCTCCTGGGTTTTTTCCCCTCCTTTTTCTTCATCTTGTAGTGGCTGCAGCAAAGGCTCCATTATCTGGCAGCATGGCCTTGCTTTTGTCTATAAATGGAAGCAGTTGGCTGTTATCCCAGTATAACACAGGATAGTCTTGTGCATCAGTTATGCAATTGGTCTCTTGATGACTTCATCAGAAGCCGGGGGAGGGCCAGGGGGTGGTAGAAAAAGGCTTTTGCCATCAGCTCTGCTGAAGACAACCAATAAATATGTGTGTCCCCCCCAAAGCAAAGAAAGCAGGAGCTCAGAGACAGGGGCAGGTGAAGGGTTCGGTGCAGGAGCAGCTGAGCGATCCTTAGTGATTCCTTGACCCCAGCTTGGGAGAGACCCAGCCACTGCTGCCCGGGCCCTTAGGATGCTGCAGGGACCGTGCTTGACCAGGTCATAAAGTGCAAAGTGCAGTGGGTGATGGGCCTGGGGGAGAAGCGGAAAGAGGATCAGGGAGTGAACTTTCAAACCAATATAGATGTCAAAAGGGGAAAGAACCTAAATATCGGAGAGCTGCCTTTCAGCAGAGCCCTTCAGGGAGTATCTGTGAAAAGTAGAGATGTGGACAAATTGCATTTGTTTTTTCCACAGGAGGGTCCTTGAAAACCCGACTTTCATGCAGAAAGGCTGACCCTCATTTCCCAAGCTGCACTCCAGCATTGAACTTAACCCTTTCCCTGACTTGGGTGGGTGCTGCAAGATCACACAGCGACTGACATAGCTCAAACGTGAGGCAGGCGAATCTGAAACTCACCCTGGCAGGTTTTGAACAAAGGATGCTAAAGTGATACAGGTCCTTTCCATCAAGTTGGCGCCTCTGTTCATCGGTTAAAGAGGTTCTACGGGCTCTTAACACCCGAGATAGGGACCTGGCACGCAGTCGCTGCTTTTCAAACACGGCATCAAAGGCGGCGGGGTGCCGAAGCGGGCCCTAGGGAGCGCTGGCGGCGTCATGAGTCCGGTTTGCCGTGGCCTCGGGACAGCCTGGGCTGGGCGGTGGCGGCTTGGGGACCGCGGGCGCGTCCCGGGAATTGTCCCCGGAGGCGCCGGGAGGAGGCGGCTGCGCTGGGCAGGGCCCGGGCGGGCAGCGCCGCCTGCCGGCAGCGGCAGCGCCGCGCTGAGCCCGGCGCTCGTCCCGCCCCGCCGCCGGGACGCGCCGCGGGATCGCCCTCACGGGCGGGATCGCCCTCACGGGCAGGATCGCCCTCACGAGTTGGATTGCCCTCACGGGCGGGATTGTCCTCACGGGCGGGATTGCCCTCACGGATGGGATTGCCCTCACGGATGGGATTGCCTTCACGAGTGGGATTGCCCTCACGAGTGGGATTGCCCTCACGGATGGGATTGCCCTCACGGGCGGGATTGCCCTGAGGAACGGGCGGAATTGCCCTCACGGGCGGGATTGCCCTGAGGAACGGGCGGAATTGCCCTCACGGGCGGGATTGCCCTCACGGTTGGGATTGCCCTCCCCGCCTTTCCTCCGTGTTTGTCCCGGCGCTAACAGGCACCGAATTTGATTTAGAACACGAAAAGAGAGTGGGGTGTGTGCAGGGAAGGCGCTTGCCCAGATTCCTTCCAGCCACGCACACTGGCCCAGTGCTGCAGGATGGAAATAATGTTGAATAAACACGTAATGGAGTTAAATCCTGAGGTTCTGGAGAAGAACTAGTGCTGCCAGCTCCCACTGTGCGTTGTGTGCACCTAACACCTTGGCTCCTCAGTCCAGGGGGCTACATTAAATTGCTGCTATGAAGAGAGGAAAACAGAAAGGGAAATATAATTATCTCCTTGAGGAGGGAGATAAAGTTTAGCAAAACATTACTTTGAAGCATGAAAAAACTTAGCTCACAACTTCATTATTTCAGTTAATTATAAAGTGCTCCTGCTTTACCTGAGGGGCTTTGAATTCCAGAAGAAAAGAGGAACCTATTCCCTGTGGGGAGCAGTCCATGGCTTGGTCTTTCTCCAAGCTCCAGGCTTCAATCACAGACTCTGTGCCTCCTCTGCTTGGTCAGCTGCGATTTCCCTTGACTGTGTAACCCAGTAACAAGGCATTCCCTCTCTCTTTGCACAGGAGCACCAGGTGGGATTGTCACGGCCCACAGGGCCCATGCAGCCTTCTGTCCCGGCAGGCTCCAGCAGCATAGCCGCAGGCTCCAGCTCCGGGGGGCACTTCCTTGGCAGCCAGCCCCAGGCAGCCATCATGAAGCAGATGCTGATGGAGCAGAGAGCGCAGCTCCATGTGATGGAACAGCAGAAACAACAGTTTCTCCGGGAGCAGAGGCAGCAGCAGCAGCAGCAGATCTTGGCGGAGCAGGTATGGTATCCATCTGTCTCCAGCGCATGCTGGGACGAGCATGAGCACTACGGCAGCAGCCCTTCCTTCTAGATTGCTTTTTCTGTAGTTCCTACAGAACTCTCTGTGGGTCCTGTCAGGGTATTTCAGCAGTGGTTGTCAAAGAAGAGGCAACTGTATCAGTCCTACCATTAGCTTGGCAAATATTACCTGCGTTTCCAATGGTGCGTTTGATAGTCACGTTGGATTTTAGGCACTGGAAAAGTTAGCCCTTAACCTGGCATCTAATGGGGCATTTAGTCCAGCAGATGCAGACTGGGCTGCAGTTATAGTCACAGATCCTCTCCCCTAGCTCTAATTGTGGTCTTGCATTGGCAAAATCTGTGCAAAGCTGCACAGTGATCTGGGACAAAGAATGGACGTGGGCTAAAAGAAGACTTAGCAAAGAAAAATGTTACTATTTACCCAGACCAATTCCTTCATCCAGTTTATTGAGTGCCAGTAAGAGCAATTAGGTCATACAAGGGAGAGACAGCAGCAAGGGGAGAACCAGAGACTGAAGTGGGAGAACAGTAAAATAACCTCTGGCAGTGGCAATGTAGAAGAGCTGCATTGGAGCTATAACCTGGCTTCCTGAACTCCTGGGCTTTGCAATATGGATGTTAAATTATGCAGTCTGAACAATGCTGTGTCCTTAATTCAGGTGTAGTTTTAAAACAGCCCAAGAAAAAGAGAGCGGAAAGTCACACTGTTGAGTTTCTACAAGATCATACCCAAGTTTAAAGTTGCAGCCCCCTAATGTTACTTAGATAACGCTCTAGTAGGTCAGCAGTTGCTTTAAGCTTCACTTCTCCTCTCTTGCTAAGGAAAAACAGCTTAAAACCATCTGCTTAAATTTTTGTTAGAGCACATGCATGCCATGTAACCACAGAAATACAAATTGTATCCCTGCTTTCTCTTATTGCTCCTGAGAAACAGAAAAATTTACTCTCAGTGAACAGGAAGGATGCTCACAGAAATATTTTGGAAAAAGATGCCTGAACTGATTCAAGCGTGAACAAGTGTGTGAGAATGAGGATGCAGTAATGCATCCCATGGATTGGGCCAATTCACATGCATAAAGCTAAGAGCCAGTAAGTGACTTGGATGCTGAAGGCAATCCTAAAAGTGTTAAAAGGCCACCAAGCTGAGGCTGTCAAGTGTGCTGACACACTTTCCAGAGATGAAAACTGGTAAAGTCACAGTCCTCAGGCTCTTAGCTTTGGGGTAGTTTGTGCCTAATGAGAGTCCCTCTTTCTTTTTGATAGTAACACATCTTTATGAATGCAGGGATTAGTACTTCCTTCTTTCCTATCTCTGCTGTTCTCATACCTTTGTTACACATCATTGGTTTTGGACACAGTATTTATACAGCTGCAGGTGATGCTCCCAGACATGCCCTTTCAGCCCCTAGTTGAGTACACCATAGCATCTGAAAACTCTATTTTTATAATCAGCCCATGATTCTGTCTTAAAATATTCACAAGTATTGGTAGAAAACAACCACAGAGGATCAACATGGTCTGGATTAAGGGAGAATTTTGCAGTCACCACTCCTCAAATATCGTTCACTGAAGCACAAGAGGAAATGTGCCTTAGTAATCCATTTCTGGTTTGGCTCGGGAATGTTCCAAGGCTGCAGTGCTTGGGTCAGGATGCAGTAATCCTTGCAGCTGAGTGTTATAAATGCAGGCGTGGAGCAAAGTCTTGCACCATGAACACAAACCTCTGGACGTTGGA